CTTTGAAGGGCGATATTATGTGTGGTTTGTAAAAGGGATTGGCCCAATAGATACCGCCCCACTTAGAGAATAGATGAAGTAATATGACTGTGTATTGTATTGTACACCAATAATAATGACTCCGCCCCCACATTCCAGACAAGGGATCTTCCTGACCAATCGGATTTCTGCCTTTACTATTTCCTGAATTTTTTTTTTGCAATCTTGTTAAAAGTGAAATTATAATAAAAATGTATTGAATGAAAAACAAAATCCTGTGTGTGTGCAATGATGACAAAGCTGTGTATCCAGAAACGGCTGGTCGGTGACACTTCCATATACAGCCCAATGAAGTGACAAGGAAGCCCTAGAACCCTTTGGAGGAACCCTGGCTGAGAAAGGCTGGACTAGGCAGTCACATATCTCTGCCCCCCTTGCAGGGTTCCCAACCCTCCGTGACTTTTATTACTGACACAACATGAACATTTACTGACGGAGGACATGTTTTTCCTGACATCCTGAAAAATGACAGAACTCCTGTTAGGATGTCAGACGATGGATATTGAATCCATATAACAGGACATGTGATCACTGATCATCCCCAGAACAAGCCATCTGCCTGGTTTACACCTAATAATTCAATCCATGGTGACCACAAATCAGCCCAACGCAGACACATGAAAACCAAGTTCTGCTCGGCATGCCATGGAGAGTAATGGGCACGGTCAGATGGGAGGGGCTTAGAAGAGGATGATGTCACAGACCCGCCCCCTGATCACCTACCTCTAAATGAAGAAAGCAGCTGATTGGGTGAGTACACATTGCTGTGACCTCCATGCTTAGCTTCACAGTGCGGCAATTTACCTTCACATGCCGAGTCTCACAGGTGGCACCGCCTGTCATACCTGTCTATTGAAGTCAATGGGACTGAGCCACACACCAATCACCTGACTTGTCATTGTGACGCAGAACTTCCATGTAAAATCTCCATTCAGCTGGAAAAACTCCAGACACCCCAGAGCCACCATGGATCCCTTTATAGATGGAGGAAGAGACTGCAGGACTGGTGAAGGAGGCCTTCATAGTGATGGATCCACTTTATCCACAAAGGACTTGTTCTGACTCCCATGTACTCCAGTGATGGCCAACTGATGAGACACTGGGGGCCTCAACTGCCCCCCAACACACCAAAGGGTTGTGCTTTATATTTACTGCTAGACATACTACAGGAGAGGGTCAGAGACTGCAGACATACTACAGGAGACGGTCAGAGAGACTGCAGACATAGACATACAGGGAGACGGTCAGAGACTGCAGACATACTACAGGAGACGGTCAGAGACTGCAGACATACTACAGGAGACGGGTCAGAGACTGCAGACATACTACAGGAGATGGTCAGAGACTGCAGACATACTACAGGAGACTGGTCAGAGACTGCAGACATACTACAGGAGGTCAGAGACTGCAGACATACTACAGGAGATGGTCAGAGACTGCAGACATAGTACAGGAGATGGTCAGAGACTGCAGACATACTACAGGAGACTGCAGACATACTACAGGAGACGGTCAGAGACTGCAGACATAGTACAGGAGATGGTCAGAGACTGCAGACATACTACAGGAGATGGTCAGAGACTGCAGACATACTACAGGAGACGGTCAGAGACTGCAGACATACTACAGGAGACGGTCAGAGACTGCAGACATACTACAGGAGACGGTCAGAGACTGCAGACATAGTACAGGAGATGGTCAGAGACTGCAGAGACATACTACAGGAGATGGTCAGAGACTGCAGACATACTACAGGAGACGGTCAGAGACTGCAGACATACTACAGGAGACGGTCAGAGACTGCAGACATACTACAGGAGACGGTCAGAGACTGCAGACATACTACAGGAGACGGTCAGAGACTGCAGACATACTACAGGAGATGGTCAGAGACTGCAGACATACTACAGGAGATGGTCAGAGACTGCAGACATACTACAGGAGACGGTCAGAGACTGCAGACATACTACAGGAGACGGTCAGAGAGACTGCAGACATACTACAGGAGATGGTCAGAGACTGCAGACATACTACAGGAGATGGTCAGAGACTGCAGACATACTACAGGAGATGGTCAGAGACTGCAGACATACTACAGGAGAGATGGTCAGAGACTGCAGACATACTACAGGAGACGGTCAGAGACTGCAGACATACTACAGGAGATGGTCAGAGACTGCAGACATACTACAGGAGATGGTCAGAGACTGCAGACATAGTACAGGAGATGGTCAGAGACTACAGACATACTACAGGAGATGGTCAGAGACAGACAGACAGGAAATTTCTGCTGAGACCAGCAAGCCATTGACAGGTAAAGATGGAGACTACATTAATTAGATTTGGGACATTTATTTCAGGAGGGTCATTGTTCTGCAAGACATATACAGGAGTGGGAATCAAGGGAAAGGAGGCAGAGAGGATGGGGAGACATACTACAGGAGACTAGAGAGCAGACATACTACAGGAGAGGGGCCTAGAGAGGATGGGACAGGGGACAGGAGATGGTAGAGAGGATGGACAGGGGAAGGAGATAGAGAGGATGGGAGGGGAGGGGAAGGACGCCTAGAGAGGATGGGGAGGGAACGGTCAGGAGCCTAGAGAGGATGGGGAGGGGAAGGCAGAGATACTACAGACGGTCAGAGACTGCAGACAGGGGGAGATGGAAGAGACTGAGACATACTACAGGAAGAGACTGCAGACATAGCCTAGAGGAGAGGGGAGACTGCAGACATACTACAGGAGGAGGAGCCTAGAGAGGAGGGGACATACTACAGGAGACGGTCCTAGAGAGGACTGGGGAGGGGAAGGAGCCTAGAGAGGACAGGGAGGGGAAGACTGCTAGAGAGGATACTACAGGGGGGGAGAGGAAGCCTAGAGAGACTGGGAGGGGACATAGCCAGAGAGAGAGGGAGGGGAAGGAGGGACTGGAGAGGGAGCATAGAGAGGATGGGGAGGGGAGGAGCCTAGAGAGGATAGGGGAGAGCCTAGAGAGGGTGAGATGGTCAGGGGGAAAGGAGCTAGAGAGATGGTGGTCAGAGACTGCAGAGGGAGCCTAGAGAGGATGGGGAGGACATAAGGGGCCTAGAGAGGGTGGGGGGGGGAAGGGCCTAGAGAGGATACAGAGGAGGGGAGGTCAGCCTAGAGAGGACATAGTACAGGAGGGGTCCTAGAGAGGAGGGAGGGGAGGGAAGGGGCCTAGAGAGGATGGGGAGAGGGAGAGACTGCCTAGAGATACGGGGAGGGATGGTCAAGGGGCCTAGAGGAGGACGGGGAGGGAAGGAGCCTAGAGAGGAGACCTAGGTCAGGGAAGGGGCCTAGAGGTCAGAGGACTGCAACATACTAGAGGGATGGGGAGGACTGGAAGGAGGCCTAGAGAGGACGGGGTCAGAGACTAGAGAGGGACAGGGGGTCAGAGACTGCAGACTAGAGAGGAGGGGAGGGATGGCCTAGAGAGACAGGGAAGGGGAAGGACCTAGAGAGGATAGGGAGGGAAGGAGCCTAGAGAGGAGAGACTGCAGACATACTACAGGAGGGGAAGGGACCAGAGAGGACTACAGGAGGGTCAGGAAGGAGCCTAGAGAGGACGGGGAGAGACTGCAGACAGGCCTAGAGAGGACGGGAGACTGCAAGGAGCCTACAGGAGGATGGGGAGGGGAAGAGGCAGACTAGAGAGGATGGGGAGGGGAAGGAGCCTAGAGACATAAGGGGAGGAGAAGGAGCCTAACATGACACGTAAATATGTGTCCTATAAAGAGTGGGGAGAGAAGGAGCCTAAGATGAGATTAGTGTACAGGAGAACCCGATAGACTTAACATAGTACCTAGCAGATATGACGCAGTACAATACTACAGGAAGATGGCACAGAGGGGTTAATAGAAAATCCAAGCAGAGTAATATGATTAGTAATTACAAAAGCAGATTATTCGATCAGATGGATCATACGGAGGTTAGACAGAGACATGGTAAAACAGAGTCATTATAAAATCACTAGATTAAAAACATTCGGCGGTCTCCAGATCTAATAGTTATTCGGCAATCAGGAGATCCACATAAGGCAATGAAGTTCCTAACTACTTGACAAAGAATTTTTCATATTTTCTGCAGACATACGATATCTGAGATGGTCATAGGGAGAAGGATGCTTCAAAAAATTGTTTTGGTAACCACCACAGTGAATGAGAATGACCTCCTGGAGGGAAAACCAGAAAAAGAAAGGATCATAGTAGAGGGAACAAGAATGGGATATATGCACTACCATATGAATAAGAGAACAGAGACCCATGACAGGTATATATGTTATTACATTACCTTCTCATAGACTTGACCATCATGAAAGGATGGATATATGGCCTTCCTAGATAGACCACCCCAAATGGAAGGGGATGTAGACAGTAGTAAATGATTCTAAAAGTGTGTATAGATATGAGACATACTAAAGGAGAAGCTACCAGAAACCTGAAGACATAGTACACTAAAATAAGGGTGGGAGATCTTAGAATATTACCATACAAAGGATCAAGGGGACTCCTCCTCACTTGAAGTAAGATCAGGTCTGGATGAAAGAGTGAATATGGGGGTGGGAAGCCAGGTGGTTAATGTATAGAGTCCAGACTGGTTGATACAGTCTATGTATATTTAGAGAGACTAGAGAAATACTGGGTTTCCAAAAATTGCTCAATAATGAGAAGTAGTGCGAGCCTTAAAAAGATATATGAGACTGTTTTGCGTGCCTACACAGGAGAGGTAGTGTATACGTAGACCTAGAATAGGAGTTCAAAAAATTAGTACACAGGAGAGGGAGAGGTAGAATAGGCACAGGAGAGAGGATGAAAATATGAGGGTAATGTAACCCGTATATATAGATATAGCAGGAATTTAGGTCAAAGGCTACAAACTTGCCACAGGTGGAAGTAGGCAGTGACTCAGGGTTGCCAGAATAACTATTAGATCTGGAGACGGTCAAGATTTTTTTTAATACAGTGATTTTTATAATGACCTTGAGAGGACCATGGAGTCTAAGGGCCTAGATCCATGTGATCGAATAAAAACTGTTTTGTAATTACTAATCATATCAGAGGCTTGGATTTTCTAATAACCACTCTGTGTGAGCAGTATTGTACTTGTCATACTGCTAGAGAGAGATGGATGGGGAAGGAGCCTAGAGAGGGGGGGGGAGAAGGAGCCTAGAGAGGACGGGGGAGGGGAAGGAAGGAGCCTAGAGAGGACGGGGGAGGGGAAGGAGCCTAGAGAGGACGGGGAGGGGAAGGAGCCTAGAGAGGACGGGGGGGGGGGAAGGAGCCTAGAGAGGATGGGGGGGGAAGGAGCCTAGAGAGGACGGGGAGGGAAGGAGCCTAGAGAGGACGGGGGAGGAGAAGGAGCCTAGAGAGACCTAGAGGGGGGGAGGGGAAGGAGCTAGAGAGGATGGGGAGGGGAAGGAGCCTAGAGAGGATGGGGAGGGGGGAAGGAGCCTAGAGAGGATGGGGAGGGGAAGGAGGAGCCTAGAGAGAGGATGGGGAGGGAAGGAGCCTAGAGAGGGGGGGAGGGGGGAGGGGAAGGAGCCTAGAGAGGATGGGGGGGGGAAGGAGCCTAGAGAGGATGGGGAGGGGAGGGAGGAAGGAGCCTAGAGAGGATGGGGAGGGGAAGGAGCCTAGAGAGGATGGGGGGGAAGGAGCCTAGAGAGGATGGGGAGGGGAAGGAGCCTAGAGAGGATGGGGAGGGGAAGGAAGCCTAGAGAGGATGGGGAGGGGAAGGAGCCTAGAGAGGATGGGGAGGGGAAGGAGCCTAGAGAGGATGGGGAGGGGAAGGAGCCTAGAGAGGATGGGGAGGGGAAGGAGCCTAGAGAGGATGGGAGGGGAAGGAAGGAGCCTAGAGAGGAGGGGGAGGGGAAGGAGCCTAGATTTTGAGGGGGATGGGAGGAGAAGGAGCCTAGAGAGAGGGGGGGAAGGAGCCTAGAGAGGATGGGGAGGGAGAAGGAGCCTAGAGAGGATGGGGAGGGGAAGGAGCCTAGAGAGGACGGGGAGGGGAAGGAGCCTAGAGAGGACGGGGAGGGGAAGGAGCCTAGAGAGGACGGGGAGGGGAAGGAGCCTAGAGAGGATGGGGAGGAGGGAAGGAGCCTAGAGAGGACGGGGAGGGGAAGGAGCCTAGAGAGGATGGGGAGGGGAAGGAGCCTAGAGAGGATGGGAGGGGAAGGAGCCTAGAGGACGAGGAGGGGGAAGGAGGAGAGGACGGGGAGGGGAAGGAGCCTAGAGAGGATGGGAGGGGAAGGAGCCTAGAGAGGATGGGGAGGGGAAGGAGCCTATAGAGAGGATGGGGAGGGGAAGGAGCCTAGAGAGGGACGGGGAGGGGGATGAAGGAGCCTAGAGAGGATGGGGAGGGGGAGGAGCCTAGAGAGGATGGATGGGGAGGGGAAGGAGCCAATAGAGAGGATGGGGAGGGGAAGGAGCCTAGAGAGGATGGGGAGGGGAAGGAGCCTAGAGAGGATGGGGAGGGGAAGGAGCCTAGAGAGGATGGGAGGGGAAGGAGCCTAGAGAGGATGGGAGGGGGAAGGAAGAGCCTAGAGAGGATGGGGGGAAGGAAGAGCCTAGAGAGGATGAGGAGGGAGAAGGAGGAGCCTAGAGAGGATGGAGAGGGGAAGGAGGGGAAGCCTAGAGAGGATGGGAGGGGGGAAGGAGAAGAGAGAGGACGGGAGGGGAAGGAGGGCCTAGAGAGGATGGGGGGGAAAGGAGCCTAGAGAGGATGGGAGGGAAGGAGCCTAGAGAGAGGACAGGGGAGGGGAAGGGGCCTAGAGAGGATGGGAGGGGAAGGTGCCTAGAGAGGATGGGGAGGAGAAGGAGAGCCTAGAGAGAGGACATGGGAAGGGAGCCTAGGGAGCCTAGAGGGATGGGGAAGGGAAGGAGCCTAGAGAGGGATGGGGAGGGGAAGGGGCCTAGAGAGGATGGGGAGGGGAAGGAGCCTAGAGAGGATGGGGAGGGGGGAAGGAGCCTAGAGAGGATGGGGAGGGGAAGGAGCCTAGAGAGGATGGGGAGGGGAAGGAGCCTAGAGAGGATGGGGAGAGGAAGGTAGAAAGGAGAAGGGGGGGCAAGGAGCCTAGAGAGTTTGGGGGGGAAAGGAGCATAGAAAGGATGGGGGGGGAAGGACCATGGAGAGGATGGGAGGGGAATACATTTGAGTAGGTTTCTGGCACTACAGACTCCATGCAGTCACCTCTGCCATTCAGCACTTGCCATTATCCTCACTGTGTTCATTTTCTACAAACACCAACCCATAGGTGCCTCCCTCCCAGGAATACAGAACACATTTTCTCAGATGATCCCAGTATTGGACCCATTTAGTATGCTGGACATGAAAGTATTCTGCATCCAACCTTCTGGAAAAGACAAACATATTTCCCCCCCCATCCCTTCACTGGGTTGTTTTACAGAAGAACTAAAGGCATTGATTTTCTGGAGAGTGGAGAGGGATGAGACCTCCTGTTGGTTTCTATTGCTGCCTCGGCCTCCTTTAGGGAGATTCAGCCTCTCTATTTGTCCTGTTTACAATTATTACCGAAAGTGATATAAAATCCTGAGATTTGGGGTGTCACCAGAACAGGATCAGGAAGAGGA